TTTATGCTGCTGATGTAGTTTAAATGTTGGCATCCATATTTATTCTTTTCTTACGCAGTACTGATTTCTCGAGCCATGTTTCATGTGTAGGTTATGGATCTTGCAAGTTCCCAAGTGTCACCCTTTGAAGTCAGCATGAAGTAGATCACTGGAAAGAATTCGGATACAGAATCTTAACATCTCTCTAGTGCTTAAGAGCCTTATTTTTTGGCCAATAAAATTGAGTGCCAATTTTTTGTCCTCCTTTTTTCGTGCCAGTCTCACCCATTGTATCCAATTCCTCCCCCCAAAACCCAAATCACCAAACGCCATTGGACCCAATTTTTTCTTTTTTTCTTTTTGTCAAAGGCAATTGTACCCAATTTGTTTTACATTTTCAAGTGCATTCTTCTGCAACTTGTACAACTCCTCCGTCTGCATTCACTGGACTAAAATGGGCGGGCCATACCAGATTTGCAGAGGTGCTGTTTAGTGAACGTTGCCATCTGCTGTCGGCACCCCTTTTTACAGAGTTTCAACGGCTATAAATCTTTATGGAGGATCCCAAGCCGTTATTATGTCATGTTCTCCGGCTAATGTTCCATTGCATGTCTTGACGATTAATCTATATTATCAGTACTCCTTTCGTCCCATTAATCTCTTTTCTCCAATCATTAGGATACTCGAGTACGATGCTTTTTAATTGTTTAATATCCTACAGCAATTTAACAATGACACCATATAGTTAGATAGGGAAAAGACATTTTATCATCCACACGCAAATTAAACCCCAGATTTGCAAATGCTATCTTGTCCACTGTCTCCTTGCAATTTGATTCAAACTCCACCCTTTTCCAGCCTTCCAGTGTGACTATTTTGATGGCTTTCCTTATCGCTAGACTCTCTTCCATCTTGCCATTTTGGCTGCATGTTCTTGGAACAGCCCAAGTTGGTATCAACCTTTCCTTGTCATCTCTCCCAACTATTCCCCATTCTGTCTTGCTCAATTTTTTGTTGAATATTGCAGCTGTATTAATCTTTATATTCCCTTTCTCGGGGAGTTCCCATTTTCTGCATTCAATCTTGTCTTTGATCCACTCATTTTCTTCACCTTCCTGGTTCCTTGTTGTTTCTTGGTATTCTCTCCATTCTCTCAAAGCTTTGTTGATTGGAATGAAAGGGTCCCTTTCCACCTCATTGAACTGGCTGTCATTTCTTGCCTTCCAGACTTGCCATAGCAAGTTTGCTGTCAAAACCATAGTTATTAAACCCAATCCGGTCTGCGCAGTTGAACCGGTCAAATTAGTGGATCCACCATGGAACAAAGCCGGTTTAGCAATTGGATCGGAGTTGCGGATGACACGTTTTGAACCGTTTGACCCGGACAATCGAACCGGTGATCCGCTAAACCCGACAATTTTTTCTGAACTAGGCGGGTTTTGGAAATTTTCTAAAATTACCTTTTTATCCAACTTTTTAATTTGATTGGCCACACTAGTATGGGCATTTGTCATCTTTTTGACAATTAAATGAGAAAAATTGAAAAGAAATTTGAAAAATTAGGGTTATTTTCTTTCTTTGATACTTAGATTTGCCATTTATATTTGTGTATAATATTAATACGAATTCATAAACTAAAGAACATATATAAGTATGGATTGTGTGTATGACCTATGAAATATGAATAGATTATGGTTTGTTAATATTTTAAAATTTCTGTACTTGTATTATAATTAATAAATTTATTTAATCATATTATATTTTTTTATTATACAGTATAACTCGCCGGTTGAACCATTAACCTGTCAATCCGGTCCTCCTGCCGAGTTGATGCTTGGGTTGGTTTTAATAACTATGGTCACAACAATATGGTCCTGCCCCTCCTCTCCCTTTGTTGCCTGTATCAGTTCTTCCCACCAATGTCAGAATGAATTCCTTAGCCTCTCTAAGCTTATGTTTTAAAACTCGGACTAGATAGTGATTCGATAGAGTTCAAAGGTCAGGGGTCGATAGGTTCGATACGTCACAAATATATATAATTAATATAACATATAAAAATTTCCCTAAAATTGGTGGTTTATAACTTTATATACATATTTGATGAGTTTAGATATAATCCAAAAGGATTCCACCTAAAAAATTTAAAAATTATAAGTACAAATATAATAGGTTAATTTTATACTTTACTAAAACAATATGGGGTCAAACTAAACTTATAAAAAAAAATTTTGAGGAAGGGCTTCTAAAGCTAATAAATGCTAAACCTAATGCTTCTTTTTTGTCAGGAGCCGCCTCTTCCTTCTTTCTTTCCTTTTTATCTTGTCTTTGTTCCTTCTTCTCTCTCTATCATAAGGTCAATAATTCTCTCCTTTTCTTTTATCCCACACAAACCAAACACATCAAACACATATGAAAACTCTCTTTTTCTTCATTATTTTTCTCTTCCCTTCTTTGCTCTTTTCCTTTTTTTTCCTCCAATTTAATTTCAAATCTTTGAAAATTTAGTTGCATGAAATGGGGTTTAGTGAATTTAGAGAATGAAAATTTTCTCCTAATCTAGATTTCTAACTTCATTCGACACTAATTCTTAGCGCTATTCAAAAATCAAAGGAGTAGGAAAAAAAGGAAGGAAGAAGCCATCGGGATGGTAGTGAGTTTGGTTTCTTTTTTCTTTTTTTTTTTGTTTTTAAGTTTGGATATTTTAAAGTTATACAACCTTTTTTTTAAAAAAATTCCTCAATTTAGTACAGAGGATGTTGCATGAGATTCTAACAAAAACACAATGCTTTCTTATTAACTTGATTCTACTTTGCTGTTTGGTGGTGCTTGTTATAAAATTAAAAAAAAAAAACCATTAGAATGGAAAATTTGGAAAAAAAATCCGATTTTACTGGTTCCCGGTCAAACCCAGTCTTTGAATAACGGTTTATTAAAGAGAATCGAACCGAGTGATTGGTCAATTTTCAGTTCAATCGGTCGGACCTTCTACAATGTATAGGTGCTGCTTTCCAAATCAGCTCTTCTACAATGGAATAGCATATATTCCAAAGTTTCCACTGCTTCCCCCCATCTATTGCACATGGGACTTCCCTTTCTAGTTTTGTTCATCACTACTTCATTGACTGGTAAGACCTCTCTTAGGCACTTCCATATGAAATGTTTTAGTTTGTACTTCATATTTAGTCCCCATAGTTCCTTCCATACTCTAGATCCTCCATGTTATTACTCTGGTTCGATTCTCCTCGATCATCTTTTTTCCTTCTTTGCTTTAGCAGCTTTGCCCACATGTATCCAGATTTGACACTGTAGATTCCTTTCTCATTTCCTCTCCAGTACATCTTATCCTTCCTTCCTGTTTTGCTAATAGGAATTGTCATTATTTCATTGTCATCCCTTTCCTACAATGTCTTTTCTAGCAGCATTTGATTCCATTCCCCATGCCCCCTTGGTACTTGAGTTCTTTAAGTTTTAGCGTGTTAGAAGATATATTGTGAATGGGCTAAGTTTGAGATAGATTCCAACTTTTCTGTTGGTGCAATTGAGAAAATTTTTCTTTGGATTGCTATTTTCTGCGGTTTTTATATAAAAAAAAAGGTACCATTTTGATTTGATATATAGAAGGTTAAAAAAAATTGAAAAAATATGTTTACGAAAAAAGTAGAAATTTTTTGGGAGAGAATGGCTTGTATTAAACACTTGTACCAGTTTTCCCAGCTTCACTAAACACTTAACCATAACAACATGCTAATTTGATAGGCCAATTCATTGAATATTTGTATTGTACTTCCCGTCCTCGTGATTAAAAGTGGTACAATTATTTCAAACATCAGCGCGCTTTGATGGAAGGAAGATTTAGAAGTATTTATCAATTTTTTTTTCTCTTCTTGGTTTATGTGGTTTATAAAACCAAAGTGAAGAAAAATGGTGTGGTTCACAAGATATTAGCATACGGAAAATTTGCTCAGAAATTACTGACCATTTAAGCTTGAATCAATTGGATCTCTTGGTTCAAAAAATATTCATTGATGGACAATCGACCCCTAAGAGTAAGCGGTTTCTAATTGTATTTCACTTAACAAGAATATATCGATGAAGTTGGCTGATTGAAAGATGCCATATGACATCACGCTATATAATTCCATTCTTTTTCAGAGGAAAAGGGTTCATGTCATCTAAGAAATCAGCAAGGAAAAATGATTCTGTGCCCACTTTGCTTGATGCGTCCAAGAATGTGATTTCTTCGATGAGTTTGTGTTTGTGTGCTCTCAACACTTGACGTTGGTTACCCCCTTGGAATTGATTGGAATAATTGCCTTCTTTAGCAGTAGAGGCTCTGGATGCATGGCAAATTTTCCTTTTATCAACATGCATTTACGAAAGCGTTTGTTAGGTTGCTCCTGCTTGAAGTTGTTGCTTATGGGGAACATTGGTCAGTTTCAAAACTCAATTTCTAACATTATCAGAAACATCTTATACCACTTGGAGAGGTGATGGTTTGAGTTGTGTTAGATACGTAGGTTTTGTCAAGCAAATGTTGAAACTTGAAACTAGTAGGATCAGTCCTTCTGAGAAGTAACGAGGAATCTGTGATCAGCGAAGCTCTGTTTTATTACCCTCACACTTGACTCGGTAGTTATTGCACCATTTTATGAGTGGCTTCATTCTTACATGTATTATTAGCAACATACATCCTGTTAATGGAAGTTTATTCTTAAAGAGGTTAGAAATATGTAACCACATTCTGGTTTTCTCAGCAGCATACCAGCCTATGCTATGTGACGATAAATTTTATGTCAATCTGAAACAACAACTTGGCATGCCTTGTAGTTGATCTAGGAGTAACCAAAAAAAAGTTCCATGTGTGAATATATAAAAATCCCATTTGTCAATTCATATGCTCAATGAGATCCACTTAACATGTGAAATGGAATTAAGTGGGGCTTTATATGTTCGCGTAGTACTTTTCCATTCGTCATGAAGGAGCAATTACAGATTAGTAGTTGCTTTGGACCAACATAAAATTTTCGCTGTCAATCCCAAGTAATTCTTTGTAAGCTAAACTTTACATACAGGATGGATACCACAAACAAATACAAATAAATTCTCTGAAAGAATCCGGAACTGAAACCAAGCTAACTTCAACAAGGCTAAACAGCTATTACGTTTATCCTCGTCTGTGAAAAATGGCTAATCAAGTTCTTGATTCTAAACAGGGACTTAAGCTACTCTTCAGATTTTGGAATACCTCTTTATCCACTCATAATGCTCCCAACATTCTATTTAGGGAAATATGTTTGCATGCATATTCAACAGTAAACTACAGGCCTTATAAACTTCAAAGTTTCAAAATCAGTAGGTTATATCAGATCATTAAGTTATCATCTCCTGTTGCAACTTGTAAGAGAAAAAAGTGTGTGAACGGCCCAGCACAACAGAGACTTTTTACCAGTAAAAAATCTCATCTCAGAAATTAAATGTTAAAGTTCTCAAATCCCAAGGATGTAATCTGATGAAGAATCTCTTTTCTCAATGCAGCACTCGCTTCTGCAGGGCTGGGAACTAGATTCCTCGACTGGAGTGGCAGACAACATATTCTACTGGGAACCAACATAAATGTTAATGATATTGATATCATTAGGCTTCTTGGCACTTGGTATCCTACATGCATATATTGGTAGTCTAACTATTCTACTGATCTCATTGATCAAGGACTCTTCAGTGATGTTGTCCTCTATACTTCTCATCACTTGTAGATATGTGCGATAGTCATTCGGAGTTGATTTGTCCGACCTAATCCGCATATAACTCCATGCTCTATGTTCAGAATTCCAAGAACATTCAATGATCTTCCCAGAGTACAAAGAGGGACTGCTACCATCATCGAACACAGCTTTAGTTGCTCCCATCAGCTTCTTCTTCCCTCTTTCATGAAGATAAAGCTGTTGGTGATGGCCAACCATCTCAAACAGAAAATCAACTGAATTCATCTCTGCGTACTTCCATTTCAGAAGACCCTCATGTGTTCGAGGAACATAAGGATCAAACCAAGCCTGAAAGATAAGGCCATCAGCAGCATGCGGAAGCTTTGGGATGAAGTCTTTCAACACACTGTTGACTGTACTGAGGAACCAAAAATCCTTCCTTCTCATCCCAAATGTTTCCAAATCATATCTATAATGAGGATTCTGGCTCCCTTGAATTTGATTACTTTCATAATTTCTGGGCTCAATCACTTCCTTCTCAATCATTTCCCAACGTTCACAAAAAGGTCGCCCCACAAGGGAGATTGAATTAATAGCCATTATATCAAATATCAGGTATCCTCTTACCTGCTCCCCCGAACCGGGTATTGTATCAATTATCATCTCACCATCAAGTAAAGTGAGGTGGTGAGCGTTCCCCCCACAACCATCAGTGTGCCTGCAAGGAAATCTAAGCTGAACCCTCCTAAACCGAAACTTCCTATCAATCAAGTAACTGCCTTCATTGGTAATCAACATCATATATCGCGTTCCATCAGCTTTCCATGTTGCATAATACATTCTTTGCTTTAGCAGTTGTATGTTTTCGCGATTGAGCGAAACTGGGTGCAACCCTGGAAATTGCAGATTCTTATTCTTCCCTACTGGCAACTTGAGCAATTGATAGCACATTTGCCTCAGGGTACGTTCCTGTTCAAAAGGGATGCCATCTCCCAAGACATCATCATTCTTCATTAGTATCTTATAGGAGAGAAAACTTGGCTTGTGTTTGGGGCAATAGGAGAGCAAACTTACTTGTGTGCAGAAGCAAGAATAACGAGTTGTAGAAGTAACAAACTGGATGTTTGTTTGTTTCGATCTTGAGCCAAAAGCTTGCCAAAGAACTAAAGAAGTAGTAAACTAGTAATTGAGTATTACACTGTTACTTTTTACAAACCGAAAGAGTTGTTAAATTGACGCTCCTCAGGCCAATGGCCATTTAAAACCACCACTCAAGATTCTTTTGACGAATCGGAATCGGAATCGGGATCTGACTGACTCACTCGAACATCCAGGGACCAGGAATCTCCTTGCCCAAAGCTTAACTACTAGTAATACTAACCTAATAGGGAGTAAAATGTCTTTTAAAAAAATCTGATAAGTTTGTTCAAGAGTTTTGGCCTATTGAGCCTTGCTTGTTGCTCCGAACCAGTGACTTTTCAGAGGCATATATGGATATGAATCAACAACCGAAACTAGGAAAAATTTGACACCGAATTTTTGAGAATTTAGAAGTTTTGTAATTGAAGAAATTTGCTTGCATGCTCTTTAGTTTTGGCATGCCTCTCTCAGCAACTCTTTCCATGCAGTCGAGTACCAACTCCATTCCATGGGACAGAACAGAGATGCTATGCCATATTTCCGGTGATTGTTGCTATTGTCGAGGAATTCAAAATTATTACCACACAGTTTCATGCTTATGTTCCTATGTTTTCACTTTTCAGACACCCCAAAAATTATAACCCCATTAAAAGACAAAATTATTATGAGCTGTAATAACTAATAAGTACTGGTTATAGTTGTTTCTACTGTAACGTACTTTATGACAAGTTTGAGAGAATACTTTATGACAAGTTTCAATAGGATTTCGATTTGTGTGATGCCCAGTCACTTGGTTTATGTCCCTCGCATCAAATAAAACTTACAAAAATAAATAACAAATAATTATTCCAAATAATTATTTGGTTTATGTCCCCCATGAAATGGACAGAGTATTATTCCAAACAATTACTTGAAATAATTACTGTAGCACTTTTTATGATGTGATGTGATGTGATGTATGTGAAATAAAAAGATGATTGAAAATATAAAATGATATATTAAAAAATGTGTTTATGATGCAAGCGAAATTTTTTTAAAAAAAAATTGACTATCCAAATAAAGTAGTCTTATCCAATTCTCAAAAAGTATTCTTATCCATAAGCATAGATTCCCCCACAAAAGAATAAAGGTCCAACGTAGGACACAGTGAATCGTTGCTTGTGATGCCCTGTTACTTGGTTTATGCCCTCACATCAAATAAAACTACAAGAACAAATGACAAAGTATTCTTATGCAATCCACAAAAAGTATTCTTACCCATAAGCATAGATGCCCCCACCCAAAAAAAAAAAAGGTCCAACGTAGGACGGGGTGAATGCTGCAAACGAGTCGAGTCGAGTCAAGTTTTGAATTAATCGAGCCGAGTCTCGACTAAATTTTACCAAGTTCGAGCTCGAACTCGACAGGCCAGCAATTTTCGAAGTCGAGCTCGAAAAAAATTAAAAAAATAATTATTTTGTTTTTTAAAAAATAAATAAAATAATATATTTTTTAATAAATAATAAAAATATTAAGGATATATATGTAATTTTACTATTAAAATAAAAAAATAAAAAAATATATATACTTAAAAATAAAAAATATATATGTACTTAAAATAAAAAAAATAAAAAATATTATATATATACTCGAACTCGCGAGCCGGCCTTAATATTTTGAACTCGAGTTCGAGTTCGATTTCGACTCGAACCGCTCACGAGCGGCTTGATTCATTTGCAGCCCCAGGTGAATCGTTGCTTGACAAGTCAACTTCTGCTTTAGAAAGCCGTCCACATGAAAAAATCAAATAATATCATCACCATCATCATCATCAACATTATTATTATTATTATTATTATTAGGGATAATATAAAAAACCTCCTCTAAGGTTTCTCTTAATATCACCTGACACTGTGAGGACTCGCAAATTTCTTGTATTTTTCTCAAAAATACCCTTTTATTTGAAAATTATTATTTGCCAAAGCCCACTACCCAATTATTTCACAATAAGTGTAAGTAAACCTAGAAAATAGGGTTTTACGCTTCGGTTTCAAGTTTGGAGCAAAATTAGGGTTTTCGCGATTTTTCGCCGGATGAATTTTCGTTACAGAGTAAGGATTAAATTTGAGAATTAAAAGTGACTTTTAAGTGAGAAATAATATGTGATTGGTAGCAATGATATAAGGTTAGTGAATGAGAAGTAAAAACCCTAGTACGTGAGTTTTTAAGAAAAACGGCGCGAACCGGCGGGTCCCGCGCACTACCGATTGAACGCACCACTTGACCACCATTTTTCTCACCAAACAAATTTATTGAACTTGAGCAAAATATCTTCTCTCTTGGCAGCAAGCTTGACCGAAATTGTGGCTCATATGCAAGGGAAAGAAAGAGAAAAATTTTGTGGTCAAGATTAGGCCAAGTGTTGGTCAAAAATTGTGGTCACAATTAGCTCTAATCTTCTTGTCTTCCTATAAGATAACTAAGCTCCATCTTCCCTCATTTTTTCTTGCTAAGTGCTGAGCTAAGGGAGAGAGAAAAGGAGAGCAAGAAAAACAAAATTTCCTTCTTGATTTGCTTCAACCCAAGTAAGAAATCCAATTCTAAACCGATTAAAGTACTAAGTGTGAGTTGGGAAGCTTGAAGAACCAAGAAAGATCAAAGGGGGTGAAGGATCACTCTACCAAGCCTTGCTTTTGAGGTATCAACATTTGATCATGATCTTTGTTGCTTTGAATCTTGCTTTAAGATGTGTTTTAGCTTAAGTTTTGGCTTGATTTCATGATTATGCAAGTGGGTGTGATGAATTTGGAAGTTTTCCCCAATTTATATGATGAGCTAGGGCTTGATGAATTTCTGCCCAATTTGTTGTATGAAGTATATATGTTGAAATTAAGGTTATAAGAGAGGCTTTGGTAGTGATTAGACCAAGAAATTAAAGAAAGTTCCATTGTTTACAAAAAATTCCAGAATCTGGAAAATGTTTCCCAACATTCTGTCCGAATTTGAATCCCTATGTTAGAGGCCGAATTGGCCTTAGGTCAAAGAAGGAAAGTTGTATAGAATGGTATTTTATAGGTGCCTACAAAATTTCAACTCAATCGGAGCAACGTAGGACGTGAAAAGTCCAAAATACCCTTACTGTTTTAAGTATTTCCCAAGCAGTCCGTGTGATCAGTTAAGTCCAGTTTATCACATTTTTCGACTAGGATCCATTCTGATTTAGCTTTTTGCCAAAACATGAAAGTTGTAGTATTCCGAATTAGCTTTCAAATTCCTCTAAGAACACCTGATTCGGACTTGTGTACTCTGAGATATGTCCATTACAGTGTTCTGCGTTTAAACAGCCGACGAATTGGTTTCTGGTTTAGTAATTTGAGAATTTGACTAAGTTACATTAGGAACTGGACTAAGTGACCTTCATGAATGTTGTAGCTCTGTGTCTTAGATTCGAACCGGCATAGGTTTCGTCTCAATCCGATAAGCGTAGCTTCGGATATGTTATTTCCGCATTCGTACGTCAAATCTGTCTTGTGCTAAGTTGAATTTCTGCACTTGTGATTGTTGTAATTCTTATTCTTATGATATTGTGAGCCTATGGAACGGCTCTTGACTTGAATTGCTTATGTGTGATGTTGGGTTGTGGTTGAGGAAAATAATGAAGCCAAAATGGCTGGAAAATTAGGTAAACACAAAGGGCGTGCTGCCCAAATTTTCGCTCGAGGGTTAGGTTTCTATTTGAACTTGTATACTTTTGTTTGGCCAATACCATGACCGGTTTTCCATTTTAAAACATGATTTTTCATCCTGGGGTTCAAACAACCCTCTTCTTACTTGAAAGTCATCTTTATACGTTTTACTCCTAATTAGTCGGGTTTCTTTGTTTCCCTTAAATGTTTTGCTCGATAAACTGTAATATGTTCTCTTGTTCAACCTTAGGTTTCATTGGTGACTAAGGGTAATATCTGGAAGGATATTTTGCACGTTATTTTGCATATCTAGGTGAGTGTTCCTTATTTGACTTTATGGCTTGTTGTTATCATTTGCTAATGTGTTAATTGCTTTTAATGATTTCCAAAACGAGCTTTCTAGGCGAGTGTGTACTTTATCGCACTCGACCTAAATAACTGTGCAATTTTCAAGGATTTAATGATTGAAATGTTACTTGCGCATGAATGTAAGTCTTTTGGGCTGAACTGGCCATTGCCCCTTGTTACCGGTCGTCTCGAGCCAGAAGCGGACTCGGTCGGGCGATTAGGGATTTGGGTGAACGTTTGGTATACTCGAGTATTACCCTGTAGGTTGGTGGAGACTGGCCAACGGCCAGGACGGGGGTGAACGAACGAACGAGGGTTTATTGATAAACGAAAAATGTATTTTCAAATGATTGGAGGAATAAGGGGAAATGTCAGGAGAACGAATGAACGAATGAACGAATTGCTCCTTGTGAGCCGTATCCTTTTAATGAATGTTACTATTGCTTTCCATTGTAAATGTTTCTTGAATTATTGATACTCCATGTTTAATATATTGAATTGATTGTTTGATTGTTTGATTATCTGTTTGGAACCTCACTGAGATTTTAGTTCACCCCTTTAGTTTTGTTTTCCTTAACAGGGGACGGTGAGCAGGATGAGAGCATAGACTAGCCTAGTCTAGGTCTTTTGTTTCTTTTGTAATGGTTCTCGCCCTAGTGCTTGGCACGGGTTAGTTGTATGGTGAAGTGAGAACCTTTGTACATTTGATGGTTGTACTTCCTTTTGAGATAGCGATGTATATAAGTTCCACTTTAAGTTTGGATTGCTGCCCTATTTATTCTTGTGATTTGTTCTGGATTTGATTAAACAACGACTGAGTCCCGACGAGAGTTGGGCAGGCGGCCCGCCGAACCCTCTGGTACGCCTTAAGGGGAGGTGGGGTCGTCACAGACACCCCTAAAATTTTAAAAATATCACTTATCTCCCTTACTTTTGTTATTTGTGTAACAAAATTTTTAAAAATTCTAAACTACCCTTTCACTTGCTAATGAAAATATTCCTAAAATATTTTATTTATTTCAAGAAAACTATCATTTTAAAAACAATCTCTTGTAGTACTACCACATCAT